TGGTTGAAGTGAGCACACAGGAAGAAACTGGCTCAACGCGTAGGCTATAAAACCTAGCGAACGTGTTAGGTGTCGCCCAGCCCACAGCTCTACAGATATCTGTCAGCGAGGCACCGTGTGCCAGCGCCCAGGAAGAAGCGACACTCCTAGTAGAGTGGGCTCTCAACCCAGGTGTGGGCTTCGTAAGCCAAGGCAATGGCATACATTATCCAGTGGGCCATCCTCTGCTTGGAGACAGCCTTTCCCATCTGCTGGCCTCCTTAACAGACGAAAAGCTGATCTAAGGTCCTCCTGAGGCTTTGTGTCCTGTCCACGTACAGGCGCAGAGCGTGGACGGGACAGAGAAAAGCCAGGGCTGGGTCTGCTTCCTCCGAAGGCAGCGTTTGCAGTTTCACCACCTGGTCCCGGAAGGGAGTGGTAGGAACCCTTTAGCATAAGGGATTGTGTCAACTACCGCTTGGCGTAGGTCACCTAGAACCTCCGCGTCCTGTCCAGGGACCAGACATGGAGTTTCCAGAGGTCTGGACACGGATGCCATAGGGTGCCCCATCTCTGAGATGGCAGGTCCTCTCTCAGAGAAATGGGCCAGGGAGGGGCTGTCGCGAGGAGCACTAGTTCCGGGAACCAGGTCCGGTTGGGCCAATACGGCGCAACGAGCAAGACCTGCTCCTCGTCTTCCCTGACTTCTGTGCAAGAAGTCTCACTGGGGGAAACGCAAACTTGCGTAGGCCCCTGGGCCAGCTGTGTGCCAGAGCATCCGTGCCGAGGGTCCCCTCGGTCAGGGAATAGAACAACTGGCAGTGAGACGTGTCCGGGGCGGCAAACAGATCTACCTGTGCGGTCCCAAAGCGCCTGAAAATCAGCTGGACCACCTGGGGATGGTTTTTGCCATTCTCCCAGTAGCACCTGCTGCCTTGAGAGCTCGTTGGCTGCACGGTTGAGCAGGCCTCAGACATCAGATGCTTCTGACTCCAAAGAAGGAGATGGCGGGCGAGTTGTAACATGTGGCGGGAGCGTAGACCCCCCTGACGGTTGATGTACGCAACGGTCGCAGTGCTGTCTGTACGGACCAGTACATTCTTGCCTGGTAGTGACGTTTTGAAGCGGCCCAGCACAAGATGTACTGCTAACAACTTGAGGCAGGTGATGTGCCAATGCAGTTGAGGCCCCGTCCACAGACCTGAAGCTGCATGCCCGTTGTATGTGGCTCCCCAGCTGGTGGCAGAGGCATCCGTGGTGACCATAGAATGCCTGGACACTTGTTCTAGGGGAACACCTGCCCGCAGGAACGAAGGGTCCGACCACAAGCTGAAAGTTTGGCGACAGTGTGGTGTTACTTGGACCCGGCACGAGCCGCTCTGCCACGCCCATCTCGGAAATCGATCATGGAGCCAGTGTTGGAGTGGCCCCATATGAAGCAATACGAACGGTGTAGTAACAAAAGTTGCAGTGGTGCCGCTGCTCTGCGTCTGAGCTCCTTCTCCTCCTGTCTAGTTAGTTAGTCATGCATGTCTTATGTGATGCCTGAATTTCAATTAGATTAAGTTATGGGTCATACTTTCATTGTAATTGGTTGATAAGGGACCAATCAGTGACCAGGCAGTACTCATATTATAAAAACGTAAAATATTATTGGTTTAAACCAAAAACCATGTGCTGTCCATTGCAATGGTTGCAGGGTCTGAAGGGGTTAAAGTCCCACTCCGATCATATTTTGAGCTATTTTTAAACATTCCTAGTGGTCTTTAAATTATGATTATGCCATTTTTAGCCAAAATCACAAAACCTGTGCCGTTTTCTGGGACTTCGCTTCAGCAGAGCGGCAGTAGCTCATTAGCAATTCGCCTCTGCGTTGTGGGCGGAGCCGTTGGCACGGAGACGACCCTCCCCCTGCCCGTTGCTAAGAGCTCTGTCTCTCCCGCTAGCTTACATCCCCAATACCGGTGGGGCAACAGTATTATATACACGTTAATTATTATTATCCGAAGTTAATCAAAGCTATCACCGATCACCGATCATTATTTCACTCCAAGACGTCGCGTGTGGAGACGCCCAGTGGAGTTACTACGTCACAACTCCAGTCGATTTTAGCCGGCATTTTAGCGTCTGCTACTGATTCACAGCCATTTGGATGTAGAAATACTCAGAAATACAACTATGAGCTGATTTTTCTCAAGATATGTCCTCTAACATCAGAAAAATGCCACAAGAACATGTTAACACCTAGAAAAACATTATTTTCATCGGAGTGGGTCTTTAAAGCATTAAGGCATTATGGACATATGACTTTCTGCAATTCCTTTCGCCTTGCTCCGCACTGTGAGCCTCCGTTGACTGTACGCGCACGTCCCCAAATAGATGAGGCGTTTATGCTCACTGCAGAGCCAAATGACATCCAGCTCCCCCTCTCTGGACATCATGGGTTGAGCTTGACCTATTCCGGTTCCACCTCTGTGGATCTAATGGGTGGAGGGATAGTTATTATGGGTAGGGTTGGGGTGTAGTTGGACCTTCTAGCTCCACCCAAATTACATCCAGAGAGGGGGAGCTGGACTTCATGCTCTACCATGGCTCTGCAGTGAGCAGGCTCTCTTTATACTTGACATGCTCGTCGTTGTACTATTCTTTGAAACGACAGGGGGCAACTCTGCGTAATTGTCCTCTAAACCATCAGGAAGCAGTGATGAGAAGTAAGGTACACGTGTGACGATGTTTGTTTTTATTACACTTCACCAAACCCACACAAAGAATCAAGGAATCGTGTAAAACCCAGTAAACCCTGAGATTAATCTGACATTAGAACAAAACATAAGGATATAAGAACATATATAAATATAAAACTAAATTAAAGGTAGGGTAGGCAATTTCTGCAATTTCCCACCCTCCCTTCAGAGCGTCTCCAAAGCCATGCCTTCTCCAAAAGACATGAACACACACACAGCAGAGTCTGAAATACATTACGAGAGATGGTGTTAAACTACCTCATGTATCTTGAGCTCTTACTTGTACCACCTGACTGCTGCAGATTCATTTCGGCGTTGATCGTGTTGCCATTTAAGCGCAACAATCAAGTCTAAGGACGTGAACAGCTCCTGGTAGAACGTCACGGGTTGTCATCTCTCAATTACGTTAATTACGACATGGCGTGAACGCAGCATAAGCTCATTGTTTTGGTTAAGGAGGAACTGTAAAAGGCGGTTGCTATTTGTTTGTGGTGCTCAGTGACTGTCTGTCTACAACTCTGCATAGCCTTACAGGATGCGCTGATGATGTGTGATGTCTGTGCAAGGAGGTGTGCGGAGCTTTGGAAATACATATGTTGACAGGCAGGTAGAACATCCTATTATTGCATCCGGACCAAATTCAATGATTGGATGAACATTTTTTGGTCCTGAGACTTCCACAGAAGATACTAATGTTTTAATATTTAAACCACTTATATTATTGATTGCTATCAGGATGTGAAGAGAGTTTCAACCAGTATATGAAACAAATTGCCTACCCATTTTCATTTAATCTTCATGAACATATTTTATAAAACATGGACCTTTATTTTCATTAAAAAGTCTTATTGTAAGTTCATTTTGTAAATGTAAATAATTTAGACAAGCGCAAACTGGGTGCTGGTGTTCTAAAAATTTGGTGTCTGAGATTGTCAGTGACACTGGGTGGAGCGTACATGAATATTCATGAGTTTCCTGTTTTGTGTGAAAGTGACTCTGAAAATATTAGCGCACACTCCTCGGCTTACAGAAAGGTATTAAGCCTACATTTCAGAATTAAAGGAAATTAAACTTATATTCTTTCTTTCTAACTGATATTTATGCACAACATTGCTCTTTCTAACTGTTATTTATGCACAACATTGCTCTTTTTATTCTATTCACAAATGCACAAATGCAAAATATATATGAGTAACTTTTAGCTTTGACATTTACAGTAGGCTAAATGTGCAAAAGTTTATGTTGAACTAACCCTCTGCTGCGCACAAAAGATCACTTATACATTAGGCTCATCAGTGATGCCATTTATACTGCTGTAATATCACTGAATATCGGATCATTCACTCTTTTTGAGCTCAGCTTGAGCATTAGGTCACTTTTTGCCACCTGACTGAGTCATTACTCTGCTCTTGGTGATGACGTCGCTGTTGCTACAGCAACATGTTCTCAATGGTATGTGTAAATGATACATAAAAGTGAGATGCTAAACCGCCTTCTCATTCATGCAGCTGTATGAATCACTTATCACTGACCTTTACAATATAAGGATGTCAAACACGGTTTGAGACACTGATCAAAATGACCCTAACATTCTGAGCCTTGAATTATTGACTTAATATGAATGCATTATTTTATTTAGCCTATTTTAGCCAATTCATTTATTTAGCTTCATATTTATGTAATGTTTTTTATATTTAATTTGAAAACACATCTATTTACATGCAGCATTTTTTTTTTCCAATTATGTTATTATAATGAATGTTATATTGGGAATTGCTTAAGAAAATATGCTCAAAAGGTTTTAAAAAAAAGTCATTAAATTGATCAACAGTGGCAGTAAAGACTTTTATATTGTTAAAAAAATCTATTAAAAAATGTATTGCGGTTTCCATTAAATTATTAAGCGTCACAACTATTTTCAACATTGATAATAATAATAATAAATGTTTCCTGAGCAGCAAATCAGCCTATTAGAATGATTTCTGAAGGATCATGCGACACTGAAGACTAGTAATGATGCTGAAAATACAGGTTTGCCATCACAGGAATAAATTACATTTTAAAATATATTAAAACAGAAAACAGTTATTTTAAATTGTAATAATATTTCACAATATAACTGTTTTTACTGTATTTTTGATCAAATAAATGCAGCCTTGGTGAACAAAAGAGACTTTAAAAAAATCTTACCGACCCCACAAACTTTTGAACAGAAATGTTCTTTCAAATGCATTGATGTTTAGGTGAATAAGTCGTCTACCTGTGCTGTGTTCATAGATATCATGTCTTCAGGACTTCTTTGGTGAGGATGATATATTTATTGCCTGCGGCCCAGAGAAGTTCCGCTACCAGGATGACTTCCTGTTGGATGAGAGTGGTAAGTTAATGGATAATGTATCCCTCCCTTTTTAAAATGTGACACTTTTCCTAAGACCAACAACAACTATACCACTTACCTCAGTTACATGGACTTCTGTGATTGTCAATATAAGTAAGTTGCTTCAAATTCTGTTTTAGCGGTTAGCAATTAGGTTTAAATTTAAATAAGCTGTTTTGACTAATGCACATACTTTCCAACATTGTAATATTTGAGATTCAAATTCATAACATTAGATAATAATCTCCTCAGCTGGAGTCTGTTACTTAATTACCTGTAGTATTTGTTTCCCGCTGTCTCATTGTTGTTATTTGCATATATTTTAAAGCTTTACAATTTAAAATCCCACTTCTTGTAAACAAAATAACATATTCAGGTAGGAATTTTTATTTAACAGTACAACAATTTACTGACATTTGTAATTATTATTATGACACTAGTTACTATCCAGTAAACTAAATTAATTGGCATTGACGTCGTCAATATAGAAACAGGCATCAGACTATGAGCTATTTTAAAATCCTATTGATAGACATATTGATCTGGTCTGAGAGCAACCCAGCCTGTCAGATCTCCTCTGATCAGACCTCCAGGATGTCAGGCCGTCATGCTTGAGCCCGACAGAGGTTGCGGTAGATTGATCGGCAGTGACATCAGGTGGTCCACACAGATGAGACTGTCTTCGGTGTGTATTACAGAGACAGGAGGATCTGAGTGTAGACTGAATTCAGATGTGTTTCTCTTTTGCTACCTTTCTCAGAGTGCAGGGTGATGAAATCGCAGTCCTACGGCCGTATTTCTCCCATGCAGGGCCGCAGCTGCTCTCCCCGCAGTGGTGGACGCTCGAGAAGGAGCAAGTCCCCTGGTTCCAGCTGCTCAGGTACGTCTCTTCAGACCAGACTGTTGTTTAATAGTCCCATTATGCTTATACATGTGTCTGACAAGCATTCCTGTAGCTGTAAACTGTAGGTTGTGTGTAGTAGGCTGACACTCATGTGTGCAAGAGCGACTCATGAAATCTAAACTGGGTGCTTGTCAGTTTATTCATTGCAGTCTCGGAATTCAAAGGTGTACATTTCAAACATGGATGAGTGTGGTTTATAGCCTTAATTATCTCCAAATCACTCTCAGCATTCTCAGAAGATATGTTTGAGGAGTAATGTCCCAAATTAGGCAACTCATTTATTTATCATTTACTCATAGTCTCTCCATCTGATTGGCTGGAGCTCTTCATATGGTTTTGGTGATGTAAAAAAACTAACTTTTACATAAGTGCATGATTAGAATTATATTACATCCTACACAGCCTAATGGAGGCTTAGAATACTGAACCAATTTGAACTCACCCAGCATACAACTGGTTGCATTTGCTCTGCTCAAGCAGACTCCAAAAATACTAAAAGCCAGAATAGACTATAAAAAAGATTCTAATCTATTCTATTCAATTCTATTATTTTCTGTTCTGTTCTGTTTGCTTCTATTCTATTATGTTCTGTTCTATTCTATTCTGTCTGCATTTTGTGTTGATGTAGTCTGATTGTCTGATTTGCTAGCGGTCTTAGAGGTTTGGTAATGTAAAAAAAAATATATACATTAAACTGATTTCATTTGTTCTGCTCAAGCAAACTCCAAAACCAGCCAGAATATTTCTTGAATAGAAAAAAAAGATGCTGATCTATTTTTGTTTTAGTTTTATTCTGTGTTTTATTCTATTCTGTTGTTTTGTTCTGTTCTATTATGTGTTTTTTTGCTCTATGCTGGTCTCTTTTGTTCTATTCTATTCTATTCTTTTCTCATTGGAGTTTAACTAGTTTATCTGTTGGCTAGATGATCTCCCAATCTGGATAACTGAATGTGCCCAAACTCTTTTAAAACCAGCAAAGTAGACCGTCTTAACTGGTTTGGTCATGCTAGGAGACCTAATCTTAGACTGGTTTAAGACATTTTTTTCAGCAAGGTTCTGGATGCTTTTCTCTGTTTATGACACATTGGCACCCTTTTGCAGTGTTACGTTATACGTGTGTGATCAGATGTTGACACATTTCTGACAACAGTGTGTGTTTGTGTAGGGGGAGACCGAGGAGTGTTATAACACGGGATTAGATGTATCACTGTCAGTTTGACAGGTCAGAAAAGAGCTGTGGTAACGTCATCATTATCAAACACTCCCATCTTCTTTTTGAGCTCACAGAAGAAATTGCATGTGACTGTGAGTAAATTTGTAGATTTTATGTTCAAAAAATAGATTTTCAGGTAAGAAAGTACCTGGCAATCATTGAATTGTAGAGACAATTATTTAACTTACATGACCTGAAGTAGCTGTTTCTCTAGTTTAATTTGATGCTTTGTATTTATGCTAACTTCAAAGCCACATGCTAAAACATTTAGCTATGTTATGGCTGTTTGGGGTGTGGATAGTTGTAACAGTTTATTAAAAATGTTACAACCAACCCGTATGATGAGTCCAGTTATCAATCATATCCTCTGTTGAGGAAAAGTCACGTGAGTTTTTTGTTGCGTATCGAGGGATTTATTCAGTAAATGTGTTCCCATCGTAGTTTATGCGTAGTCTTCTTACCAGATAAAAAAATGACCTGCCTCATTTGAACGCGCAAGGTTTTTTTTTGTGCACATTCATAGAATTTATGGTTGGTGCTTTCATCCAGTGTTTTTTTAATGCAATATCTCAAAATTCACATAGAAATATGTGGATCATGGAAACATAGCCAGTGACTGAACCCTTATATGACAGGAAAACAGTACACTTACACACACCCACAAGCACGGCAACTGTTTTGCACTACATTTTAAAGTTCTAAAAAAATACAATAATGTTCTTTGTCAGTTTAAATTGTTCACGTTAGTTTTTCTTTGTTCTTCAATGCAAAAAATTGCATATTGTGGGTGTTATTTCAGAAAATTACCTCTCAGTGTTACATCTATCCCCAGCTAGTGTTACAACTCACCCTAGTAGTGGGGTGCATTGTAACAACAGAACTCTTTGTATTTGACATTAACTCACATAATCTGTGATTGTGTTGAACATATCCAAGTGAGTTATATTTGCAGTAGACAATTGTGGCAACCATATATGAAATTTTGAGATATCTAGGACAAACAACCAGTGAGGTACTGATGCTCGAACAAAACGTTTTACAACCATCTCCGGTTACATGCAGTTAGACAGCCTATTTTTGTGCGTTTCTCCATTAGTGTGTGTTTTCTGTTTAAAACGGGATTGTGTATCTGTTCCTAACTAAACGACAAATCCATGAAAAGTTGTCCTGAACATCCAATTGATCCAAGTTTCATTCTTTTTCCTGCAAGAGATCATGAGTCATCACTTCCTGTTGTTGATGTTCCAGATAAACACCAGGCATTCATCCTGTCAGGCATCCGCCACTTTGTAAGCAGTATAGAGACATGTCAAAAACAACAACAAAAACAGAACAATTATTGTGCTTCAGCTCGAGCCTGTTCTTCAAATTGAGTATTCCGGCCAGGTACAAAATGAGCCCTTAGAACCGACTCGCTGCGCGTTGTTTTGTAATGAGCCGGTACGAGTATGAGTATCAACCTCATTCTCTGAAATAGTTGACACAGTCTGGAAATAACGTTGATGAGCATTAACTGGGTGGTTGGGCCAAATTGTTTACGAGAGATATTGCTAATGTTGTTTTGGGAGAACAGAGGTGCCTTATCCCAAATATAACTCATCCACAATCTGGCAGAAGGTCTCAAGGAACAGAGATCTGCCATGCAGTCTGGACAAACATACCTAGATTTATTGTTTTTTATTGATCTGAAAGCTCATTCAAACAGCACCAACCTTTGGGATAAGAGGAAAAAAAGTTGCTAAATAATAAAAGGGATGTTTGGTGTGGTTTTGTGACACTTAGTAAATCAGTAAATGAAATGAAAAAGAAGATATTTTAATGAATATTTTAATGAATATTTTAATTAGAAAATGCTTTGGCTGGTAATACATTTGTTGGTGCCTTTTGTATTTATTTCAAGACAATAGAATAGTGAAATTAATAGTGGACTAAGCAAAAACAATGAAATATGGATATTACTTAAAAAGCTGAACACTGTAAACATCAAGTTTGAATCATGAAGTTTGATGTAATTTGATATGCTAGTGTTAGTCATTCCCTTCTGTGCTAGTGTGGGATGAAATGTATAATTTATCATTTTTTAATACGTTTTTATAGAAAATATATAGCTACTAAAATGATTTTCAACCCCAAGAACATTGCAGGTGCTTGTTTGATTTTGGCTTGATTTAGCTGTCTGCAAGATCTGTTGATTAGGAGACCCACAATTCATGTGAGGATTGGAGTATAAAAATGTGCCATAAAATATAAATTCTCCACCAAAATCACAAGCCATCACTTATTTAGTAGTTTAGTTAAGGCTATGCTTAAATATATGGATTTTTTTTATTGATTGTATTTTATTTAACATGTTTTTGTGCCTTTTTAAATTTAAAATCGATTATTTAAAATCAACATTAAATAAATTATATTTGCCAGCCATTTGACTTTTCTGAAGTTAAATATTCATGTTGTTATATACAACATATTTATATCATGAAATAAATAGTATTCTATGTTAAACAAGAACAAAATATGGCATGAGACAAGAACCTGATTTTATACATGTGAAATTGACTCGATCATAACAATAATTGTGTTTTATTGAATATAGATATAAACTATTCAAAAGTTTATATCTATTCAAAATATAAAACTGTTCAAAAGTTTGAGGTAAGATTTTTTTTCAGAAAAGACATTTGTAATGATACAAAAGATTTCTATTTCAAATAAATGCTGTTCTTTTCAACTTTGAACATTAAAGAATTCTGAAAAAAAAATATCCACAAAAATATTATGGAGCAAAACTATGATATAATAATAAATGTTTCTTGAGCGCCAAATCAGTATATATTCCTGAAGGATCATGTGACACTGAAGACTGGAGTAATAATGCTGAAAGTTCAGCTTTAACATCACAGAAATGCATAACATTTCAAAATATATTTAAAATAGAAAATATTATTTCAAAATATTACTGTATTTACTGCTTTTTTGATTAAATAAATGCAGCTTTGGTGAGCAAAAGAGACCTCTTTCCAAAACATTAAAAAACATTACCCACCACAAACTTTTAGTTTAAAATAGTTCATATAAAATTAAATTTCCCTCTAATCACCAACATCCACCCATCAGAAACTATATATGAAAGTGTATGAACTATATATATCCAGTTTGAAAGTGAAGTTCTCTGACTAATATTTTCCCCACACTAGTTGCATTTACTCACCCAAATTTGTTGTTCGGTAATCACACACATAAATGAAGGCTGATCTGATAGTCCTTCAAATCTGTTTTACATTCCAAAAATAACACTATGATGATGCATTCTCACTCTCCACATGCTGAATTATGTCCGCCTGTGATAGTGTATCACAGATGGCGAGGGAGCACTATTAATATGTGGATCACAGTGACACAAACATAGAGTAACATTGATATTTGAGACTGAGATGGCTTTATTTGTTACTTGATGTGCTCTGGGAAGCTTTGAAAGGAATCATATTAGTGGCCGAACCTCTGAATCACAGCATAACCAGAGCTTCAAACAGCTTAATTTGTATTCACACATTCCGTGGTGATACTTCAGAAATCCACTCGAAACACCACGTCATCCACTCGGCTGCACTTACGCCGTTCAGAAACATCTCCACAGTGTTTTGCCATGAGATCTTCTCTGAGATCTTTGTAGTCACCCACACAGACAGCACTGCAACTACGATATGGCATGTTTATGAGATAAACTCCTCCCTCTGTGGCTGTTTATGACGTAAGGTGTGCGCAGCCAGCAGGAACACACTACATACATCCTCTCCTCCTCTCCCACACTCATTCATCCTCTAGCTCCTCACAGTCACTATGAGCGCAGGAGGAATCGCAGTTTGCTCTGGCCGCCTGCTGCACTTTTTAGCAGGTAGGACACTGTGTGTTGTGCGGCAAATTCATAAAAATGATTTCTTTTGGAGAGATATTTTGGATTTCATTTGTTTTTCTTGTTTTGAGGTGGTGAAGAGGAATTAAAGTAGGCGATCATTTTTGTTTTGTTTTTCATTGTATCTAAATGAAGGGTTAATATTATGCTTTGTAGATTTTTCATGGCTGTTAGGCTTGTTTTCGTCATATTTCTCATGGCTGTTAGGCTTGTTTTCGTCATATTTCTAAGTGGCACCTGACATGTGTATACTTCTAATATTGAAGCAACTGTTTGTTGTAATGTTGTAGAGATCAATACTTGGATTTCATATTGCACTTAAAATGCCATACATGACTTGTTTTAAAATATTAAGCAGTCTTGTGTAAGTTATGTGAGATAGCTTGAAGTAGCCTTTACGCCTGTGTATATATTTCAATAATTTTCTTATAGCAGTCTTACCTTTACTAACTGGTTGCATTTTGCATTATGTGCCTATATTTATACAAGGCTGTTCAATATTTTAAAACAAGTCATGCACAGTGCAATTTGAGATAAAAAAAACATAAATAACTTCAACACCTTCGCTAGAAATATATGTATAAAATTATGGAAAATATATTGAATTATATTATGCAAATAAGAATACAAAAAAATATATATTAATAAAAAAATGGTGAATATTGGTGATTTTTGGACTGAAAAGCCTTCTATAACTTTATAGAAGATAATACTCACTGTATATATATATATATATATATATGTGTGTGTGTGTGTGTGTGTGTGTGTGTGTGTGTGTGTGTGTGTGTGTGTGTGTGTGTGTGTGTGTGTGTGTGTGTGACCCTGGATCACAAAACCAGTCACAAGTAGCCCAGGTATATTTGTGGCAATAGCCAACAATACATTGTATGGGTAAAAATTATCGATTTTTCTTTTATGACAAAAATCATTAGGATATTAAGTAAAGATCATGATCCATGAAGATATTTTGAAAATATACTACCGTAAATATATAAAACATTTATTTTTGTGGGTGAATGCAGCACAATCACGAACATACATGGACAACTTTAAAGGCGATTTTCTCAATGTTTTGATTTTTTGCACCCTCAGATTCCAGATTGTCAAATAGTTGTATCTCGGCCAAATATTATCATATCCTAACAAACCATACCTTATTTTTTCAGCTTTCAGATGATGTCATAAATCTCAATTTCAAAATTGACCCATGTGACTGGTTTTGTGGTCCAGGGACACACATATTCTATATATACACATGCAGTATAAGTGAATTGGAGACGCTAAATTGTCCATAGGTGTTGTTAATGTGTGTGTGTGTGAGTCCCGAGCCATGTAAAGGGGAGGTAGGGGAAAGACCTGGCAACCTGGGAAAATCATTGCTAAGAAAATTCATGAACAGTCTCTTGCGTATGGCGAGAGATGACCCATAGAATCACCAAAAGTCGTATAAGCCTGAAATGTTTAATAAATTTTTTTTTTTTTTTTTTTTTTTTTTTTTTTCATGCAAAATATATTGTCACATTTTCTCTTCCCTATGATTTTGGGGTGAAATATGACTAGGACAATCCTAATAAAATCTTTGACATTTACCAACCTGTTCCTCTGTATTTCAGCTAATGGAACAGCAGGAAGTCAGCTATCGACCCCACGGTCAGGCAAATCTCCCAGTCCATCTCCCACCAGTCCAGCCAGTCTGAGGAGACGAAGGGTGAGAACTGTCACTTTAAAGACCTTTCACATCTGCTGCATTTGCTGTAATGCGCTAAAAAGACTTTTAATAAAATACCATTTACATGATGTTAGTCTATGTGGAACTGCCTTATTCATATTTGTAGTGTCTTTCACTGCATCAAGCAAAGGCATCAAGCACTTTCATCTTTCTGTTTGACCCTTATTATATTTCAGGTGCTTTAATTTGCCAACATAGTACTGAATCAAACTGAATTACAGCTGAACACATCTGAATTAAAGGGGCCATATAATGGTACATGCACTTTTACAAGTTGATTGTACTGAAATGTGTGTTGGCAGTGCCTGTACACAACCATCGTATAATGATAAAAATCCATCCAGTGTTTTTGTTTTCATCTCCTTATATGTTTTCCCCTGCCTCAAATTGAGCCGTTCGACCGTGTGACGTCACACGGTTGGACACCCCTCCCACGATTGTTGATTGACAGCAGCGTCCGCGCCGCATAGTCCGCGCGGACCGGCGCGGTCATTGTTGATATGCTGGAGCTGTCTATGAGCAGAATGGCGTCTCAGCGATTGTGGTGTTCTGTTCTTGGGTGTAATAACGAACACAGCAGTCATTTTAATGTTCCTAAATCCGAACCGCTGAAGACGCAGTGGCTGAGTTTGTTTTCAAAGGGAATATTCCCCACGAGCAACGTCAATGCTCTCATGTTTGCGCGAATCATTTCACACACCAGACTGCTTATAAACGAGGATCAGTATAAACCTGGTTTTGCTAAGAAGCTGCTCATGAATAAAGGATCGGTAGAACTATTCGTGTTCCTGCTGAACCTCCAGAAGAACTGAAGTGAGTGTAACGTTTTATTAACCTTTATATTAATATTTATAATAATCTTTGCAAATCGCTTGCACGCTTCACAATGAATGCGGCTAAGGTTTACACTCAGGGTACATTACGGCATGTTTTCTATGTATGATGTTCTCAATATAATTCATAATACAACGTCTATAATGAACAACGCATTATGGTTATTGTGTTATTGTGTTACAAACGGTGTACGCAGAGAACAGAGAGGCGGGGTGAGCAAAGCTCATTATCAGTTAAAGGCATATGCCCTGAAACGGCGTGCTGAAAACAGAGCTGTTTTTGACCAGGTAAAATAAGTGTTTTCTTACAATACTAATGATAATTTTTAATTGAAGTATATTGCAAACTTTTAATTTAGACCCTAAAGAATCATATTAGCTTGTACAAAAATGGCATTATATGACCCCTTTAAATAATTCCACATTCACCCAAAATGTTTCCTAGCAACAGCAGACCAGAATCTTGACCTGGCTGTGTGCTGTGTGCCTGCTCCATTTCCACTCTTTCTGTGATTGACCTAATTTATATAGTTTGACAACATTACCCTGTTCTAATAACTGATGATGTTCTGTTAAATTAGATGTATTTGTTTGTGTTCTGTAGATTAAACAAGTGAAATTTCACTTTTAACGTGCTGTTAGCATTAATTTATGTACAGTATATACTGTATATATACAGTATATATATATATATTAGTTCAGGCTCTTCACTTAACCAAAAAACGTTGTAAAATGACTGCCTCTCTCTGGCAGGGCTCTCAGCACAGTGGCTCCTCTCTCTCTCTGGCCTCCACCAAGGTGTGCAGCTCCATGGATGAGGGCGATGGGCCAGGCAGTGAAGGTGAGGAACCCTGGGAAACTTTGACAAAAGTCTATAATTATTGTTTTATCATCTTCTTCATCAGAATATTACATCCCACATCTTTTCCCCTTCTAGCTGAGCTGATGGAGGATTGTCCTCAGGTTCCTGCTTCCATAGCCGAGAGGTACAAAGTGGGACGAATGATTGGCGATGGGAACTTCGCCGTGGTCCGAGAGTGTATGGAGAGATCCACAGGCCGAGACTACGCTCTGAAGATCATTAACAAGAGCAAATGCAGGGGAAAGGTGGGACTTTAATATCTCTGATTCTTGTTCAGTGAAATGCATAAATATGTGTGTGCACTTTGCACTTAATAATGCAAGATCACTGTATTACATTGCATGGCTTGTCTGTGGCTCACAGGAACACATGATCCAGAACGAGGTGTCTATTCTTCGGAGAGTTAAGCATCCTAACATTGTTCTGCTGATTGAAGAAATGGACACATACAGTGAGCTCTACCTAGTCATGGAGCTGGTCAAGGTGAAATATCTGACATTTACATTATAAAAGTCAAAGCTCCAGACTATGTTCAAATTGTCGCATTTTGTGATTTTTGTTCTCCACCACGTTCCCCAACTGATAAGAGCTCCCATTTCTGTTGCATATGATATTAGAAACACCTAACGATGTAAATGTAATGAAAGCGGAAACGAAACCGAGCTACTTGTTTGAGCTGCGCACCCCTTTTATCAACTCAGACCAATAATAGACAAACACAGCGCGAGCTCAGAACAGGTTTACTCGCAAGCTGATCTTTGATCACACGACACTGTTACTACACAGCACTAAGTATTTCAAACAGTGCTGATGTGGAAACCAGGAGAAACATTGTGCCATGAGCAAAGTTATAGAAGGCTTTTCAGTCTACAAATCACCAACATTCACCATGGATTTAATGCAGGAACGCTAACTGTAATTATGGTATTGTGACAGACATAGTCATTTCAGGGTTCCTACAACCTTTCGAGAGTGAAATCCATGCACTTTTCAAGTACTTTTCAAGTATTTAGATTTAAGGTGTGGCCCTACATTTTCTGCTTGTGCTCCTAAAATGTTCAGTAACAGTGCTCCTAGTTAAAAAATAAAAGTCTGGAATCCTGTTAGTTTTAGCCTAAGTTAGTTAAAGTGTTTTATTTAATAGTAAGTTTTATTAAGCAAGGATGCATTAAACCAATCAAAAGTAACAGTAAATAAATGTATAATGTTAAAAAATATTTCTATTTTAAATAAATGCTGCTCTTTCAAATGCTCTGTTCATCAAACAATCCTAGATAAAAAATGCATCATGATTTTCATAAAAATATTATGCAGCAAATGATTTAACATTGATAAGAAATTATTCTTGAGCACCAAATCATATTAAAAATTATTCAACTTTGCCATCAAAGGAATAAATCAATTTTTGTTATATATTACAATAGAAAATGGATATTTTAAATTGTAATTATATTTCATAATATTACTGTTTTTACTGTATTTTGATCAAATAAATGCAACCTTGGAGAGCATAAGAGACTTCTTTCGAAAATATATATAAAAAACAAAGTTTATATGCTTTTTTATTTGACTTCTTAAAATATAAAACTGACTAGTTAAGTGTTTTAGGTTGCATTAAATTTGACTGCTCAGATATTGTTCCTGTATAATCTCTGAAATTGTGTGTGCATGAACAGGGTGGCGACCTCTTTGATGCCATCACCTCCTCCAACAAATACACAGAGCGGGACGCCAGCGGGATGCTGTATAACCTGTCCAGCGCTATCAAATATCTGCACTGCCTTAACATTGTTCACCGGGACATCAAACCTGAGAATCTCCTGGTGGGTGTTAATGTATTGACCAGAGAATATTGTCACTATAAATGACAGTATCTCAGTGTTACTTTCACAAATGCACCTTGGAATAAATGTCAGAACTTAAATGTTTTTCCCCCTCCTCTCTAGTACAGAAACCTTAAATAACCCATCTTACACAAGCTTTAAAACAAGATCAACTCAATACGGAGACTATTTTACCCATCTTATCAGACACAACACTGTGTTGAAACTCGTGTATTTCTGTAATGACAGTATGAAGAACACAACAGCTTTGACAAAGGCTATTGTGCCTAGCACATATTATTATCCTGTGAGTTGTGTAAAGTTGTGACTGATAAGGTTTACGCATGCTCTGAATTGACTTTGCAGAGATTCTGAATCTTTTTTTAACCAGTTTTACACTTATAACTGAGATCAACAAACAAATCAGACAAACAGTTTGGAATCTCATTTGAGCTTCCCCTTTCAACAGCTGCTAAAATATAAAATTGTATTTATTTGATTTATAATGCAAAACAAAATATATTATTTAAAGCTGCAGTCCGTAACTGTTTTGGGTTAAAAATTATCAGTACATAACCAGCCAGTGTTCAAAACTATCTGCTTGCCTTAGCTCGATTCAAAGCGGTAAGCTTGTAATAATGTTTTTAATTCCAGTGTTACTGGTGGATTTCCGCAGGAAATTCGAGCATGTCTTTGTGTCATTACGTCACATTTGTACACATAAAGAAGGAGTCTCGGCTAGTATGAGCTATATTGCGTGTGAGGATGTTGGAGATTTATAGCCTTTTCTCACAGCACTTGATATAATTAAACTAATTAATTTGATGGCGGATCCAGAAAGGTTCAAACGTCAATCACCAGTGACAACTGGAGATTCACCCGTTGTAAAATCCAAAAGACTTCGTTCGGACTTCGCAGTGGCTACAGAAAAAAGATACTGCAACCCGGCCCATTCGAAAACAAGGATAATATCGGAAGGGCATTAAATGTAGTCACGCAATGCTGACGTTGTTAACATTAACAATTTGAGAACAAAGTAGGCTATCATTTGCACGGTTTGACGTGATATGATAAGCGATCGTTAGATTTAATCAGGGCGATTTACTGCAATGCTTTTTTTCCCTTAGTTGGTCAGAACAAAAGTGGATGTTACTTGTTCTGATGACATTTTCGGGTGAAAATTCGTATATTGGTCATACTTCCAAAAAGAATAATCTGTGATTCTGAATGCTAGGATCCACACCGGCGCGGTGACTGACAGCCGCACACTCTCCTCAAAACATTGTGTTCATCCGCGTAAAGTTGATAATTCCACGAATAACTGCAGTTGCAGATTTCGAACAGAGATGGCGACAAAGAGGAAAAACTACGGACTGCAGCTTTAATTTTATTATATATTTTATTTACTTTAATTTTAAATTATATTTAATATTTAAATTATATTTGTATTTTTAAAAAGAGAAATCTATTTCAAGAACCTAAATATCAAGTATGTTGATGTAGATTTGTTTGTATTTATATGTGCTTCAGGTCTATGAGCACCAGGATGGGAGTAAATCTCTGAAACTGGGGGATTTTGGCTTGGCAACAGTCGTGGACGGTCCACTTTACACTATATGTGGCACCCCGACCTATGTAGCTCCAGAGATTGTCGCAGAGACTGGGTCAGTCACGTCTTCATTAGCATGGGAATGTTATTCATAAATAGTCATATGAAAACCAGAATATAACTGTCATATTGTGTTTTTCTCTCCACGTTACAGGTATGGCTTGAAGGTTGATATCTGGGCGGCGGGGGTCATAACATACATTCTGCTTTGTGGCTTCCCTCCTTTCCGTGAGTAAGTACAGCATCATTGTAAGTTAAAGTCAGCATTAAACGGAAGTTGTGATAGACTTCTTGAATAAGAAAACAGCTTAAAAAAAGTTGGGCGGGACATGATTTTATCCATCGGGAATTGATTGGATTGTTGTGGCTTGCTATTGGTCGATCTCATGTGAGTGACAGGTTGTCCCGCCCTTACGTCAATAAACACGTAATCAGAGGAGAGAAGAGATGACGCTGCAAAAGGGAGGGAAAGTTAATAAAAGATTGAGATTGATTTGCACATTTAAACCATTTATAATAAATGCTGCAATATTTCATAAAAAATAAGAATTGTCTATTTTCGTTTCATGGTGACTTTAAGCATAGGTTCAATTTAGAGAATTTTACAGCTCAAATTATATACAAGTAGAACACAGTTAAATGACCCAATTTTGTGAGTTTGTTGACTGAAGTAAGGCTGTATGTAAACAGTATTAGAGACTCTGAATAATTAAGCTGTCAAGACTTAAAAAAATCTGTTAGCTTTACAAAATAATGATTTGATATTTTTATACCCAAATGCACCTTTATTCGGATATTTATGTAATTATCCCCTGGCACCCTTTTCTTTTTCTTTTCTATTTTTATATAGTTGCTATTTTTTTTTATTATTATTTTTTGTATGCATAATGTTTAGTACTTGTATTTGTACAAAATATATGTTGCTTGAATAAAAAAAAGAAAAGAAAAGAAGTTAAATTGTGATGTCTTACTCCCTCTAGTGGCCGTTTTCTATCATTCTATTTTGACCCGCACATATGCGTAGGATAGATAGTGTGAGCTGTACCTTCAGTTCTTATTGCAAGAGCACAATACATATTTATGAATATTCAAAAACTGTTTGCATATCTGTTCAGGAGCACAGATGATCAGGAGGCTCTTTTTGACCACATTCTGATGGGACAGCTGGATTTTCCTCTTCCATACTGGGACACTGTATCTGACTCTGCAAAGGTTGGTGTACCAAAACAGTTTGAACGTTCTGGAAAAAATAATTACCTCACTATCTTTCTTTCTTGTTTTATTCTACAGACACTTATCACCTGCATGCTACAGGTGGAGGTTGACCAGAGATACACAGCTCTACAGGTGTTAGACCATCCCTGGGTTAATGTAAGACTTTGTTCTTTTTTTTTAATTACAGATTTATGTATATGTACCATTCTCAGACTATTGGAAGGTAAATGATATGTGGAGGTGTTTTCCTATTCTTTCTCAGGATGACAGAATGTGTGAGAATCAGCACCAGTTGTCTGTGGCCGGCAAGATTAAGAAACATTTCAACACGGGCCCCAAAGCCAACAGCACCACTGCAGGAGTCACTGTCATAGCAGTAAGAATCATCTGTAGCTATTATGTTTATATTCTTTATGACGGTTTATATTATCCACATGAATTAAAGCCAATATTCTCGAATCAATCATTGGTGCACAGATGATCACTTTATAGGCAGCCGTAATATTTTAGTGGACTATTATTGGCATGAAAGGGATAGTTCACCCAAAAATTTATATTATCACATAATTTACTCACCCTCAAGCCATCCTGTGTGTATATGAGTTTCTTCTTTCAGCCAAATACAATCAGAATTATATTAAAAAAATATCCTGACTCTTCCCAGCTTTATAATGGGAGTGAGTAGATTCCAGGGGGAGTTTTTGAAGCACAAATAAAGTGCATCCATCCATCCATCCATCCATCCATCATAAAAGTAATGCATATGGCTCCAGGGGGTTAATAAATGCCTTCTGAAGCGAAGCGATATGTTTTTGTAAGAAAATATCCATATTTATAACTTTATAAACTATAATCACTGGCTTTCGGCAGCGGTCGTACGCGAAGAGTGACCTCTGGCTGGAAATTAGAAACTCATATACACCTAGGATGGCTTGAGAGCGAGTAAATTATGGGATAATTTTCAACAATCCCTTTAAAGCATTGTATTTTTCTCTTGGTCAAGTATGTGAGCTTTTCTGCGAGAGATTTCTGTGTCAATTTGATGTGAAAAATCAACTTATACAATTAGCATTGTTTTGAGATTGAACAGCCTTTGTCTTTTGGAACATTACACTTAAATATAGTTTGAGGTATTCAAATGTTCTGGAGGTTGTGCTCTTATCTCATAGCTTTTCGCTGACTCATCCATCAGCTGTTCTTCTCTCATTCCTCTTCTCTCCTGGCAGACTTCATCCTTCTGCTTTCTTATGGCTGTGACATCTCCTCCTCTGACTCTGCTTTCTGCTTATATAACGACTGTCCGCACTGTTGTCAGGGACTGGGTCAAATTAGCCAAAATAGTTTCCTCTATTTTTATGTTTTTTTTTTTTTGTTTTTTTTTGCGTAGAGGACAATTGCATAAAATAACTAAATCCTTATGTAAATTTAAAGGTAAAAATGTAAAGGCCTAAAATATAAACACTTATAATATATATAGTGAACCAGGGTAAGACAAAAACACGTTTTAGAAGAAGGATTGATAAGTAATGACTCATTATTTTAATTTTGTTAATTTTGAACAAACAAACAAAAAAGTTACCTTTCAACAAAATATTTACTTTGAAAATGTTTCCACAGTTTACTTTCTGTTTTGTTATTTGATGTATTTTAGTTTTGATTTTGCATATAGGTCGTTTGTTGAATTCAAATTAATTCATATACAATATATACTGTATATATATATATGAACAAAGTCTTCTATGCTCACCAGGGTGCATTTATTTGATCAAAAATACAATATAAACAGCAATTTTCAATTTAAAATAACTGTTTTCTATTTTAATATATTTTAAAATGTAATGTATTCCTGTGATGTTAAAGCTGTATTTTCAGCATCATTACTCCAGTCTTCAGTGTCACATGATCCTTCAGAAATCATTCTAGTATACTGATTTGGTGCTTAAGAAATATTTCTTATTGCTGTTGAAAACACTTGTGCTGCTTAATATTGTTGTTTCTTACTGACCCCAATATATGTATATATGAACATTTAGCATACTTTGTTAGCACATTGCTTTGCATGTTTACCGTTTCATTAGCTTCATATACAGTTGTTTTTATTTCCCAAACTGAGTGTTTGTATAGAACTGGTGAAACATTCTGAACACTTGGTTTGCTCACTGCTACTGTTTTGTAAAACTCTAAACATCACACCATTATTGAACAGCACTTCATGGCTCAAAGCTTGTGCTGTTTTACACGGTGACATACAAATCTAATCTATTGAGTTCCACTCATTTCTCCCTGCTCAGCCGGACGAGGGGTTTTCCATCAAGCGTTCAGGGTCTTTGGACTGCTACCCGAACCCAGGGATGTATTGGATAAGGTACGCCCACAGAGCGGCTCAAACCGTCAGTGTTTCCATGGCAACGTGCTGGCAGTCTCCATAGTCCCTTTCCTTCCACACTCGGCCTCTTGCTATAGAGTGGGGATGCTCTGCTTCTTTGCCATTCATGCTTCTCAGCTCATGCTTTCTGGTGGTGCTGTGCTGAATTGTGTTTGTCAGTGCTTCACTTTTCCCTTTCTTTGCTCTGTGTTACTGGTCTAAGAAGCTTGTACAGTTGAAGTGTACACTTATGCATGACACTGCTGGTTATGGGTTAAACACTAGTTTGAATGTGCGGTCCTGTGCTGGATATAGAACACACTGAAAGTGCACATGTATGTGTTGGTGGAAAGTAAAATCCATAATGAAAACAGAACTCATTTTGATTAGTTAGGTCTGCGCTTAAAAAAAGTTAAAAGGTAAACCTTACAAACCCCTTCATGAAACAAATGTTACACTTTACAAAAGGAAGATTTACAGATAATTAAAAATGATAATATATATAATAACAATATATATATATACGGTATATATAGTAGTCAACATTTGAACTTGATCAAAAAAGTTAATCAAAATTGTCCTAAGAAAAGAATGGGTATTGTTCAAAGTTCATTCATGTTTAACTTTGATGAAAGGTTTTGATCCAATTCAAATATATATATATATATATATATATATATATATATATATATATATATATATATATATATATATATATATATATACACTCACCTAAAGGATTAGGAACACCATACTAATACTGTGTTTGACCCCCTTTCGCCTTCAGAACTGCCTTAATTCTACGTGGCATTGATTCAACAAGGTGCTGAAAGCATTCTTTAGAAATGTTGGCCCATATTGATAGGATAGCATCTTGCAGTTGATGGAGATTTGTGGGATGCACATCCAGGGCACGAAGCTCCCGTTCCACCACATCCCAAAGATGCTCTATTGGGTTGAGATCTGGTGACTGTGGGGGCCATTTTAGTACAGTGAACTCATTGTCATGTTCAAGAAACCAATTTGAAATGATTCGAGCTTTGTGACATGGTGAATTATCCTGTTGGAAGTAGCCATCAGAGGATGGGTACATGGTGGCCATAAAGGGATGGACATGGTCAGAAACAATGCTCAGGTAGGCCGTGGCATTTAAACCATGCCCAATTGGCACTAAGGGGCCTAAAGTGTGTCAAGAAAACATCCCCCACACCATTACACCACCACCACCACCAGCCTGCACAGTGGTAACAAGGCATGATGGATCCATGTTCTCATTCTGTTTACGCCAAATTCTGACTCTACCATCTGAATGTCTCAACAGAAATCGAGACTCATCAGACCAGGCAACATTTTTCCAGTCTTCAACTGTCCAATTTTGGTGAGCTCTTGCAAATTGTAGCCTCTTTTTCCTATTTGTAGTGGAGATGAGTGGTACCCGGTGGGGTCTTCTGCTGTTGTAGCCGATCCGCCTCAAGGTTGTGCGTGTTGTGCCTTCACAAATGCTTTGCTGCATACCTCGGTTGTAACGAGTGGTTATTTCAGTCAAAGTTGCTCTTCTATCAGCTTGAATCAGTCGGCCCATTCTCCTCTGACCTCTAGCATCAACAAGGCATTTTCGCCCACAGGACTGCCGCATACTGGATGTTTTTCCCTTTTCACACCATTCTTTGTAAACCCTAGAAATGGTTGTGCGTGAAAATCCCAGTAACTGAGCAGATTGTGAAATACTCAGACCGGCCCGTCTGTCACCAACAACCATGCCACGCTCAAAATTGCTTAAATCACCTTTCTTTCCCATTCTGACATTCAGTTTGGAGTTCAGGAGATTGTCTTGACCAGGACCACACCCCTAAATGCATTGAAGCAACTGCCATGTGATTGGTTGATTAGATAATTGCATTAATGAGAAATTGAACAGGTGTTCCTAATAATCCTTTAGTTGAGTGTGTGTGTATATCTATATATATAGATATATATAGCATTCAAAGGTTTGGGGTCAGTAAAATTAAAAAAGAAGAAGAAATAACACTTATATCCAGCAAGGATGCATTACATTGACCAAAAAGGACAGTACAGACTGTTAGATTGTTACAGAAAAATTATATTTCAGTATCCTAAAACAATGTACTGTATGGTTTCCACAAAAATGCTATGAAACTCCAGAGTTTTTAACATTAGTAATAATAAATGTTTCTTGAGCAGCATATTAGCATATTAGAATGATTTCTGAAGGATCATGTGACACTGAAGAATGGAGTAATGATGCTGAAAATTCAGCTTTACCATCACAGGAATAAATTATGTTTTAAAATATATCAAATAGAAAAGAGTTATTTTAATATTCCACAATATTACTGTTTTTAGGCTACTGTATGTTTGATCAAATAAATGTAGCATTGGTGAGCATGAGACTATACTTAAAAACAAAACAAAAAAATCATATCAACCCCAACCTTTTGTTACGGTAATGTGTATGTACGTAGTCTACATATAATTTATATTTAAACAAACAAATAATGCTGGGGAAAAAAATGCTGGAAATAAAATGAGCCTTTTATTAATCAGATGTGAGATAAAGAGTACACTATGCTTGGTGCACCATATCTAAATAGTTCACTATCACCACCATATTTGCTTGTTTTTACACTTTAACCACAGTTCAGTGTTAATTCAAAGACAGATTTTGATTTAAGTCGTCTTTCGAAGTCACTGTTTAATTATAATCCACACACAACTGAAAACCTGTTTATCTCTGCACTATCCGAACTCTCCCCCCGTTGATTCCCGAGCAGTCAATAACACTCCCATGCTCTCGTGTTCCCCAGACCACCCCTCTTGATAAGGAGAGGCAGGTTTTCAGACGAAGACGCCACCAGGATGTGAAAGCCACCCAGAGCACCTTCCCCTGCAGCCCCGGGACCGTCCCGACCCTCTCTCCGGCAGACTTCACCTCAGAGTCCGAGGACATTTCCCCCTGCTCGGCCGAGACCGTCCGCTCTCCCACATCACCGTTTTAAGCACACACAGAAATGAATGGAAAATGACCTTTAAGTAAAAGGTAAATTGACATGGGAATAGCAAAGGATGACAGTTTTTGAAATCGAACGTTTTGCTACGTGGAACCGATGTGATTAACTAGGAGAGGATGGGAGAGGGAAGCAGCACACCTGAACAGAATAAAATAATCTTTTGCTTTTAGCCGTTTTTCATCGGAAAGGAGAAGTCCTTGTCAGAGTTTTCGCTTCATCGTAACTACATGTTTGCTGCTACATGAGGTTTTGTTTGTAGACCATGGCTGCATCCGAAATCGCATACTTCCCTACTATATAGTAGGCGAAAAACAGCATGTGACAAGAGTAGTATGTCTGAATTCACAGTACTTCTAAAACAGTGTAGGCAAAAAAGTACCCGGATGACCTCCTACTTCCGGCGAGATTCTGAAGTGTGCATATGATGGACACTTTACTATCCCGAGAGGTTTTGTAAATGGCAGTGAAGCGACGTAACTGACGCTAGTTGGTCACATGATAAGGACAACATGGCAAAAATAGTATTACATTCATACTACACTTATTCTATATAGAACGTACTTCTTTAGCAGGCGCATAAGTACCTACTCAAGAGAGTATGCGATTTCGGACGCAGCCCATCTGTCACAATCTGCCTTCGTATCTTCCCTAGTACAGTAAACCACCTCTCTTTTACACCCTCTAGTGTTGGATAGGGAGTAATGCAGCCAAACCTACCACTCGGTTTCAAGTGAACAACAGTATCCAGCTGCAGACCCGCAGCACCACCAGTTTCAGAACCCCAGCGCCAGAACCGGAAGTAAGGGGCGGAGCTTACGTTCTAACACCAGCGCCAGGACCGGAAGTGAGGGGCGGAGCTTACGTTCTAAACCGAGTAACGCCACCTAACGTTTTGGAGCGTAATTTGCTTAGACACGAAACGGCATTTTTACACACAAAACGTCATACTTTATACGAATTATAATGATACATTAAGGTATAGTACAATAAGCATTTTAAAACATTGATTTTGTGTAATATAATTCTATATAGTTATCCGTTTCATTGTATTATGAGAGTTACTTCCTGATCATGATGGTGAAAAATAATACTTGAAACTTATGGTCATTTTATATAAAATATACTTTATTTCACAAGAACATGTGCAGCATGCATTTTTCTTTATGTAAAATAATGTCAAAAATCTAAAAAGAGAGAGAAAATCCGGCATTGTTTTAAAAGAAACAATAAAAAATGTACCGTACTTGTCTCTTTTACACGCCTGGTGTGGCTGCAGGTCTGGGTAAATTATAAAGGCCGGTCTCAAATAGAGGTCGGGTCTGTTTTTTAGTTTCAGGTTGTATTAAATCTTCTAAAACCCGTCAGATCGTCTGCTTTTTGGCGGCCGCCAAAGCAAATTTGTGTCCCGCCAAAGCCTATTTTTATCGGTGAGTGATGTAGAATAGAATGACTGCTGCGCATGACCTGGCCGCGCGCGCGCACTCTCACGTCTTCAAACAACACGAGCGCTGTCTTGCTCTTTATTTGTCACATACCAGTTATAGTTCATACAACGAGCAGTGACTCACTGTGTAATAAAAACATACCCTAAATATTATTTAAAAGGTGCAACAATTTTAAATATTTTCAAATACTTGCAAAAATAACCAAGCTTGTGTCATTGTAAATAATTCCGCCCCTCCCTCACTTCCGGTTCTGGCGCTGGGGTTCTGGCACTGGGGTTCTGAAACTGGTGGTGCTGCGGGTCTGCAGCTGGATATATCTCCAAGTGAACACACACACACACACACACAGCCATCTGTTTGATCCCTATAAAAAGTCTCCGATGTCTTAGCAATTCCTCTTTCAGTGCAAAAATCTTGTATGTGGGTTTTTACCTTTTGTATGAACTTTTTATATTTTAAATATTTTAGGTTTATACATTTTATTTTAACCTGATAACTATTTATTTCAGCATTTTTGAGAAACATGTTGGTTTCTGTCTGTCAGTTAGACATTAGAATGTTCTTTATAAAATGTGTAAAATGCCTGAATAGTTGAAGATTTATTGATGTATGTGGCTGTAGAAATGCTTGTTTGAACTTAAAATAATCGGTGCTGGTTTAACATGTATGACCTTGAATGACTAGAAACTTGTCAGTCCAATCATAGATATATTTACGTAGATTCCTCATTGGCGGCTGTTATTATGGGCCGCTATACTTAAACCGTCTGCCATATTGGAACGGTCAAAGCCGATCTGTGAACATTTCGAGAGCAAGTTGACTGAGCGTCTGCAACCGTAGTCAGACGCATGAATCTCTATATCTGCAATACACTTTAGCAGATGATTTTGCTAAACTAACACAATACAAGAAGACAAAGGTGTCAGCTAACATAACATTAAAAATGTACCACAGTAAAAGTAAACACATTAAAAAGTACCATAGTAAAAACATGTAATTTTGAGTTAATACATATAAAAACACAAGCCAACACATTCTCACCTGTGAAAGTTTATCCCATTTCTTCAGGCGTTTAAATCTCAGCGGTTTCACTACCAGAAACTGTGCAATGTTGTGGCATCATTGATTCTTACTGTGACTGAGACATGCTGACCGTTCCAAGATGACGGACGCACCAATGTGTCTGTAGTGGTTGAATGTGGCATCTACGCATGCATATCTATGAGTCCAACTGCTGCTGCTAAAATAATCTCTTCGTCAGTAAGTTCGGTTCTGTCAACACTCTTCATGAAGATAAATAGATTGTAAAGCTACTTCCTGGAATGTGTGTTCATTGTCAGAGCGCACACTAATTTCTGGTTGACAAGAGAACAGAATGTATGATTTATTTAAAAAGTGTAACGTAACGAAAAACAAAAACGTGCTAAATGTACGCTAGCGATTTTAACGTTTGGATTGTACATATTTGTCTTTTTTTTTGTTTGAATGTAATATCATAATAACATTGTTTTTTTTTTGCATTCAGAAGTGAACTGACTAGCAAAAGGTCCATTTTAATTTGAATGTATCGTTTGTTGTTTTTGAAATACGACCACTGATTGATCAGAAGCAGTTTATGTGGCGGAGACAAGAAAAACAGTACATCATTATTCACTTTTTACCTTAAGATTGTAAAACAATTTAAAAAGAGGATGGATATCTTAATGAAGGTGATGCTAACTAGCATAACTAAGTACGTTTTTAAAAGCAGTTTATTCATAACTGTTCAAATTCCAACACATGGACCCATTTTATATTAGGACCCAAGTGTCTTAAACTTCTAGACATACTAACATTTAGGCTAGTCATGTGATACAATGCACTTATTGTTTACATGCATGTGTTTTTACATTGTTTGTACCATTATAAAATACCTGCATGTCATTTCTGTAATCAGATCTACTGTACAATAACACTGTTGATCCTACCCCTAATTCTACTCTTGAACTTAACAAAACTTGTCTTTTACCTTACCAGTCTCCCATCTCAAAATCAGCAAACGTGTTTGGCAATACAACATGAACACAATAAGTACATTAATTGTGCAGTATATACAGCAACAATATTATTGTGCTGTAAATACGTAGAGGTTAAAGACGCCTAATATAAAGTGGGACCCAACATAGTAGTTGGCTACACACAGACACATACAGTTCACTAATAAATTGATCTTCTTGGCTCAAAATGTTTGCACATTAACTGTAAAGGACAGTGTGTCAGTCTTGCATGTGTTCTGAGAATGAGTGATAATCATTTTAATATCCATTTACTGTACCATCAGTATGTTGACCCCATCCACAAGCAACTAGTCTCAGTGAAGACCAGTCTTGGTTATGTTTGTTGCTTCTCAATATTTAACATTGTTAAACTGCTTATTGAAGCCTCCAGCATGTAAAGGCTTCCGGTGACGCCGTGAAGGGGTAAATGAAAAGCACAAAGTCTAAAAGAGTAGTCCTTTAAGGTATAGCATGTATTTGCTTTTTAATTCAAATGTATCTGCTGTATTTGCTTGTCAAAATTAGACTAGAAAACAATCAGTGATCAACCTATTTTTGAATAGGATGTAGATCAAGTCATTATAATAAAGGAACTAATCTAGCTCATATGCAAAATTCTGTGCACAAGGATTGATTACACACTGTATATTTGTATAGATGTATATCCATCGCTTGTCCATTGTCTCTCCCATCAAATGTCATTTAGGCTTGACTTCCTGGAAGAAGAGTCTTTGCTTCCAAGTAGCATTGAACAGTGGTGCATTCAGCAACAAGCCAAACCTGTGAATAAATGATTCCTCAAGCAGAAACCAGTTTTTTTTTTATGTCTGTTTTTGTTTACCGAAATTGATCATGTATTTTCATTGTTATGTTTTCTGCAATCACAACTAAGCAGATTAAAGCTGTGGTAGGACATTTTTTTCATAAACACTTTTTGTTATTGGTTGAAACAATATACAATCAATAATAGAAGTAGTTTAAATATTTTTTTTTTAAATAAATTACATAGTATTTTCTGTGGAAGTCTCAGGAGCAAAACATTTTTGTCCAATGATAGTATGTCCTACCTGTCAACTAGTGTTTATTTTGTCAGCTATTTAAAAAAATGTTCTTAGTCCTGTCCCGTGTTAAATGTCCTTGTTAGTTTTTTATCATATTTAGTCAACCTTATCCTATTTTTTTAGTCACATTTTAGACGACTAAAAGTCTCTGCAATTTAGTCTAGTTTTAGTCAATGAAAACGACATTTTAGCAATAAGATTATTGTGTAAAGTTCATGCATTATGAAATAAGTGGTATTACACTTACACAATAATTACTTTATGGAGGTTTATCCTGCATAAAGTTCTTGTAGACATTTGGCTTTTATAACATTAATATGGTGGTTTTTATAACATTAATGATAAACTTTTTTTATTTACTTATTTAACAGTTCAAATGAAACTTCAAAAAATAAGGGAAATACAATGAATTTGCATATTGGACTGTTGTATGGATAGTTAGCTCATA